CAAGTGTTAAAGGCTAATTCTATCTGTGTAGGTCGTAGAACTTTCTCGAAATCTGCTAGAATTTGCTGCTTGACATCCAATTTCAAATCCGTACAGGCACTCTTTGCCAGACGATCACAATATTATAATGATAGTGATTCTCCATCTCGGCAATTTATATATATATACATGTAATGTCACTGTATTCGAAGTCAGAAACTCAAAATGAATTGAAATACCAAGCGCTCTCACAGGCACTACTTAACTAATAAACCAGATAAAAGATAAGAAAACAGAGAATTTTGCAAATTTCCAACACACATTCAGAAAAAAAGCACAGTGCGTATGTTTCAATCTTTTTTAAACTAGAGTAAAAGGAGAATACATAATGATGACATGACGCTTCAAGTGGTTCTGTTATGCAGCAAGGGGCAGCTGATCCCCACATCACCGACACGTTAAAGCTAGTATTACACTGGGCTGCGACTATTGGCGACAAATTCCGAACGACATTCGCGAGAAAGTTTTGAAAAAGTCTCGGAAGTTCCATGGGGGGTCTCAATTTCCTGTTGCGAATCTCGGGGCACAGCTTTCGCGTCGCAGGAATCATGTTTAAACATTTGAGCTACAAAGTCACTGTCATAATAGCCATAGAGTGCGAGAAATGTAAGACAGCTTTGTGAGGGGTTGACGACCCCTGAAACTAAATTACCCTTGGAGCATGACAAAAATTGCTAATCAATGGAATATAAACTTTGCGAATAAATTACGCCAAAAAATATATGTTCTTGATTTTCTAGATTGTCAAGCATAACTATCATGCGATATTCTCAAGTGGCAAATATTCATTTGGAGCGACATGTATGCGAATTGTCGCGCAAATTTCGCCGGGACTTTGTGGGATATTCGTGTGACAATCCAGTGTGATTCCCAGTAAAATTGACCCGGAGACCCCGTGTTCGATCTCGTTGTAGGCAGTTAGAATTCAAGCAAACTTTCCCCCATAGCAAATTGCATGGTATATTCCCGACTTCAACAGTTCAGTCGGTCCAGAAAAGTGGGACGTTAAACCTCGTTGTTTCACTTCATTTAGGACAACATATAGTCTTTCGGATGGAACCAAAACCCAAGGTCCCGTGTACACATTGCACGTAAAAGATCCCATAGCCCCCTCGTAGCATCATGTATGACGTATGCCTGTCTGAATTAGCCCAATCGGAGCAGAACAGTAGGGCGTTAATCCCCATTTCATTTAAAACCATAACAGCATATGTCAAGAACTGAAATGCATTAATACTCTTTAAGACATTAATGCAACTTGGGGGGTTGGATGGCTGAATGGTTAGCGTGCGCGCGCTGTATCATAAAGTCTGTCATTGAGTCGACTGGCGTGGTTTCGAATCCCCGGTTGTACGTGGCAAGGAGTAGGGTCGCCTGTTCAACCTCGTGGGTTTTCTCCGGGTCCTCCGGTTTCCTCCCACTGCTAAAGACCCCTACGCGCAAGCGATTTATGTAAATAAAATTGAAACATATGTTAGTCCCGAAATGACCTAGTTTGTGTCGAGTGGACGTTAAACCCCATTTCTCTCTCTCTCTCTATTAATGCAACTAAAGACGAGATACATGTGTGGATTTATCAACAATTATCAACACCTTTAATAAAGCTAGAAAGCACTTAATGTGTCCATAGCTTTACAGCTATCGCTGTCACGGCAACTAAATTCATTATCCATTCGATAAATTGTTATTAGTTCCGTTTGTTGTTTAAACCTTGAAAATAATAATATTATTTAAAAATATAATTTAGTCTCTAGAGCGTTTACTTTTTTTTGACTAAATGAAACTGTAGTGTAACTACAGTCTTAACTTTTGTCCTCAAACAAAATGTTAATGGAGCTAAATCGCTAATATTTGGGACCTAGAAATTGACACAAATGGGCCGCACGGCATATAATGTAATATCACAGGCACTTGAAGGGATTAAAATAAAATTTCTTACTACTGCTTGACTATATATTATAGTATATAAAAGGTATTTCAGACGCCATCTTTGTTTACACGTCTTCAAGACATTTCTTCTGCTATCACCTCACAATACTCACTAGTTCTAACACTTCCCGTCGTTTTTATTGCCAACGAGACATTATTTGATCATTATTCAGCTTCCGATGTAATTAAATTGGTCATTTCACAGCGTTATTAATTACAAATCAAACTTGAAGCGCTATCACATACCGAAAACCAACTTGGACAGCCCGGAAATAACACGAAATCAGGTCAAAAGAATTCCATAGTAAGTCTAGATCATCGAGTCACTTCCTTTATTAACATATTAGAGATTTGCTTTGGGACTGGGTGATCTAGACTGCATCAAAACAAACCCACGTGTGTTTGTCGGGTGAAAATGAAAAAATGTCCCTGGTATTAACTCCAGAGCAAAGCCAGGCTTTTGAAATCATTAAATCGGGCCACAATATTGTTGTAACGGGTATATATAATAGGCCTATATACATATGTAGATGTTGTTAGAAGATTCCATTTGAAGTAGTTAATATACGTAAAATAAATTATCCTAAGCATTTTACATACCAATGACAATATTCAGCTGACATTCAAAATTCGCGGTCAGCTGTGACAGTCAATTTTATTTTTAGTAACACGCCTTGACCAATCAAAAATAATGGCTTCCACAACGCAACGTCATTGACCTGATTTCGTGTTATTTCCGGGCTGTCCAAGTTGGTTTTCGGTAAGTGATAGCGCTTCAAGTTTGATTTGTAATTAATAACGCTGTGAAATGACCAATTTAATTACTTCGGAAGCTGAATAATGATCAAATAATGTCTCGTTGGCAATAAAAACGACGGGAATGTGGTAGAACTAGTGAGTATTGTGAGGTGATAGCAGAAGAAATGTCTTGAAGACGTGTAAACAAAGATGGCGTCTGAAATACCTTTTATATACTATAATATATAGTAAAGCAGTAGTAAGAAATTTTATTTTAATCCCTTCAAGTGCATGTGTGTAATATATGTGGTTTAATGGTCGAGAGCGAGACATTAAGTAATATATTGTAACAACATGAGGGTCGTAAGGCCCGAATGTTTTTACAATATATTACGCAATGTCTTAAGCTCGAGACCATTAAACAACTTAAAATACAGACACTTGCACGTGCTTTGCAATGAAATACGTCACTCGAGTTTAATATTTTACCAAGTTACGCTTGGCACATTGCCCGTATGATAATTTGAAATAATGGTACTCCAACATCAAAGGATGACGTCACATCTGTATTTTAAGAATGTATATAAACTGATGTACATTCAACTGTTTCCGTTTTGACACTAATTTCAATCTCTAGCGTCTGGTTATTCCAGTCTACATCGATAGTATTTATTGCGCATGCTCTTTAGATAAGAACATGGCGACATGATTTGTGGAATATGTCTAGCCTCGTTCCTCGAGTCCCTTGATACAAATGGTGCCGATATGCATTCTGGTACACGATTTGGTACTAATGGTAAAGTGTTTATTTTGTCTTATAATTGGATATCAGAAGCCCATCTTTTCCCGGTAAGAACAGAACATCAATGTTGATTGAAATTGACAAATAATTTGTGTTTTCAATGTCGAAAACTGTGGATGATATCTTGAAATCCAAGATTATGTGTCTTGTGTCAAACCAGTAATACTTTTAATGAAAAACGTTGATATTTGGTGAAATTTAAGTTTTATTGGGATGTAGGCTCTAGTGATTAAAACACTGAAACACCCCCACGAGCTAAGGTTACGGAAACAGAAGTATAATGGTGATCATGTGTTTTATTAAAATCTAAGAAAATGTTACAAATCTTGTTTTAAGATTCCTATTTACGTAAGGCGTGTCGTTTAGACATTACCGGATTCAGAAGATAGGGCCCAGGCTATTCCACTTAATTGTCCCCTTCAATATCCCGTCCTGACGAGTGGAAGATGAAAGCGTGTTTCAACATTATTGAGCAACGTGGATGATGTTTAAGACTAGAGTGCGTGTATGTAAGAAAGGCATATGACAGTGTCAAAGACTCTGGGCTTCAGTCTGTCAAGTCTACAGGTAAATCCGACACTTCGTGTAGTTCATAAGATATCTTATGCAAGTCGTGAGTTTGATCCGGGATTTGTATGTGACAAGCATTTGGGTAGACTGTCTTATATCCAGTTTCTTCCGACGTCTAAAATGACATCCGCGCACATAATATGTTGGTTTCGAAACCATCTAATTAGTCTCGATGGGACTTCATCCCGGTCTCTTTCGTCTGAGATACATACAGATTTTCGGTCAACGCTTAGCTATACTATATTTTTGTAATTTTCATATCTTAGCAAATTTAAACAACACATTCCAATTCCATGGAGATCTGTTTTGCAAATCGACAAAGGACAATCACCATAACAATTATCTTTCAAAGGCACGGAGTATCAATTTAATTGTTCGTCTCACTTATATCCACAATTATGTACAAAAGATCGGATGAAAAGGCTAAATTCGTGGACCGACGGATAGGAGCATCGACAACCAACACACTGTCCAATCATGCAGTTTAAAATAGATAAGCATTGAATTCTGTGGTTGTACATTCTTTTCAGTAGTTCAAAACAACGACCCAAGAAAAATGTGTTATTAAAGCTCACTGATAGAAGTAGGTGGGATAAGTCATTTCGCATTAGCGTCTTGTCTTTTATGGTGAAACGAGCAATGATTATTAACGTAATTGATCAGAGACGGCTTGTTTATCTATCATTCACCTTGTGGCTCTCGTTAAATCCTCGGTTCGTGTGCCATAGATGGTTGCAGTAATAATTTAATAAATGCCGAATTCATAGTCGAGTCGGCGAGGAGTTATAAATTATAGACCACATTTCCTCATTATAAATGACTACTACAGATCTGTGGATAAATTTTATATCCCCATTGCAAGCGATAATTTATGGCCAACAGCGCGAACTCATGAATAAAACAAATCACAACAACTCAATGATACAGTACATGTAATTATTAATTTTAATGATACAATCATTAAGGTCATGAATATAGATTTTCAAGTGAATATATTTATCCCAATGGAATGTTAACTCATAAATTAAATTGATGAAAATGAATAATTTACATTATTCTCAACTTAATTTTTTTTTAATATTTTTTTCAGAATTTATACAAGATAATGTTTATGATTTGTGTTTATAATATTAACGAAAGGGTAGCCAGAAATATATACATATATGATATAAATAAATAAATAAATAATAAACGATTAAATAAGGGCGTGAAAACAACCAGTTAGTAGTCGATTCTGGGATATTTATGTTCTTAGTTAAGAATTAAAAGCTATGACTGATTAAATGTAAACAAATATAAGTAATCTTTCCGTGTATATATATATAAAACAGACACACATGTGTTGGAAATTAAGTCTACCTTTCAAGAAGATTTACGTACTTAGTTTTTAGTCTGACTTTAAAATCGGTGTATAACAGTTAACCTTTCGATTAGGTCAATGGCCGTTTGATCTTGCCATTACGCCTGTTTAAACGGCCGTTATAATTCCATATACCTTAAACCGAAACAAAAAGTTAAACACATGAGCCTTCCAATTGTCAGATAAATGTTAAGTGGCAACAGGTGTTGTAAAGTGAGTAAGAATCCTGTCGCCGATACATCACAACTTACAGCTATAAGGTACACGTTTCCACTGCAACCTGAAAAGCACAGTAAGGTCTCTTAGAATGATTTAGTGACGCAATTGAAACAGCGAAAGGAGGGATAGGGTCACCAAGAGTTACCTTGGGCGCCATACCTCGGCGTTTATTTTATGCACAAACAAGCACATCGAGTATGTCCTCTGACGAAAACGGCGTAATAAAATTGACAAAGGTAGCATTTATTGTGTTGTTGACATTAAATTGACACATTTGACAAAACGAAACAAGAGGAAATAAAAGATACATTTGCAGAAGGGGTTTGTCTAATAACAGACGGAAATTACGTTGTCTGTACAAAATTCAAGTACTACACACGTTAATAAAATAAAGATATCAATCCCAAAATGATTCAAACAACAATATTGACAAAACACCCGTTCCTTTATTTCAATCAGACTAATCGCAATTATCTTTTTTTTTTATATGTCTCCAAACAACGCGTTATGTGACTTGATGATCGGGATTCCTTTATTTCTCCCGCGTATTTTTTTTATTCTATAGGCCTAAATAGCACAAAATACAAAATAAATGTATTTATAGGCTTGAACTATTATATTAGCATTCGAAAGAAAAGAACAGACGGTTGAAAGCGAACATCTAATGAATTATGTGAATAAAAGACATGTCGTTAAATGGCATTTAATATCAGTACATAACATTTCTTCGTTTCATTGTGAATTTCCCGGTAATACTAATGTTTACTGCACAAATAACAAAAATACGCGGGAAATAAAGGAATCCCTATTTTTTGGCCCTAAACACATTTAAACAGTCATAGTGACAGGAAACCCAACCTCATCCATTCAAAAACAATTATTTTATTGCATGTTTTTTTTCGGTTACACAGCTATAGAATTTATCTTTGCTGTCTTCTTCAATTTCGCAATTAAAATGTCAGCCTACTGTTTTATCTCCGGATTTAATTTAACATTACATAAAACGTATTTAATACACTCGAATCACGCTCCCGGTCTGATATAATAGTCGTGTAATACTTCTATCCACATTTAGTTTGTCCCTTAACTTCTAAAAATATAGAATTGTCGACTGTGGTTGCATTTATAATAATTGATAACACTATTCTTTATTCCAAAATATATAATTACACTCGCGTTATCTAAGAATAATTAATAGCACTAATCATTGTTCCAGAATAAATAATTTCACTCACGTTATCCACGAATAATTGATTATTCAAGAATAAATAATTGCACTACACGTTATCTCAGAATAAATGATAGTGCTAATGTAATACTATTTGATAATTAATTCGAAATTGTATTAGACGAATACAAGTGCACCATAGGACATGAGTTATAATTTGATAGATACATATGTTTTAATTGCATATTTTAAACGCAAATTAAATTGTTTATGAAATATTGTGAGAATAACAGGAAAAGGGGTTTAAGTTCAAGGATAGATTCTATATCTAAAAACACGTGATTGCAAAGTTATCATTTCATATTTGGCATGAGTGACCAATCACATGGTTAATTACACCATTATTAGCCAATAGAATAAGTAATGGGTGTGAATCTGAGAATCTATAATTAATAGAATGTGCGTTCTAGGTTAGACACAATGAAGATTTGAAAGAGGACACATCAGGGAGAAAATCGGTAGGAGAGACCGTTGAGGTTCGAGGGATAACATCTGGGTTGAGAGAAGAGAATGACTTTATTATAATTATGTTTTTAACAGTGTAACCAGATTGATATAAAACTTTAGAAACCATACTTTTAGTTCTGTCGTCTTGTCTGTTAATCATACTATTTGAGATGCAGTGTATTCAATCGCAATGTGAAGTCGTCATTAATAGGGAATGTCAGAATGACATTTAAAGATACGTCCTAACCAGTTAAAGAATTACAAATGCGACCAGGGGCAATACTAGACGATCAAGGGCTGTTCCAAAATATGTAGTAAGAAACGATGCATGGGTTATACGCTGGATGTTCTCCACGTCTGACAGACGACCGATGGTGCAACACTAATCACTATTTCAGAATATATTATGATTGCTAATCACTATTCCGGAATAAATCATTGCATTACACGTTATCTCGCAATAAATGATAGCACTAATCACTATTCCATAATAAAAGATTGCACTAAACGTTATCTCGGAATAAATGATAGCACCAACTATTATTCCAGAATAAATAATAGTTCTGCTGGTTTTTACAATATATTCATACCCGAATAAATAATAAAGTATGTACAATAGCTATAACTGTTATCCTAGAATAAATAATATAGCATTAATTGTTACCCCAAATTAAATAATATTAATGTTATCTCAGAATAAGCAAAATTTTTCCTGAATTAAATTAAACATCCTGAAATAAACAGAGAGAGAGAGAGAGGCGTGGGGCATCAACGTCTACTCGACACAAACCAGGTCATTTCGGGAATTATATATAGTTAATACTATTTCAATAATTCGCTTGTGCGTAGGGATCTTTCGCAGTAGGAGAAAACCGGAGGACCCGGAGAAAGGCGACCCTACCCCTTGTCATGTACACCCGGGGAATCGAAATCACGCCAGTTGACTCACTGACAGTTCTTGTGATACAACGTGCAAGCGCTAAGGATTTGACCCCCGCCCTATACACACCCGTTGGAATAAACACGCCAACAGCGAGACTGATGTACCCCACCGCAATTCCAAAATAAATAGATTAATCAATTGCACATTTATCCTTTTGAAAAGTATCGAGCAATCAAATTGATTATCAACTGATTACCTTATGATACAACGCGAACGCGCTAAGGATTCGGCCTTCCAATCCCCCACCCCTTGACCAATCAAACTGCTTATCGCTACTTAGACTTAGCAGAAAATTCTCATGATCGAACTTCGTCAAGGTAATGATATAATTAATCTATACTCTGAGTTTCATTATAATTAAGGCATCCGCCCAAAAAACACCTACACCAAGTTTAGCTTAATTAGAAAGGTGGGGGACAATAATATCACTAATTTTATCCCAGAATAAAAAGAAATACAGACTAAAATAAATAATATCATTAACTGTTATCCCAGAATAAACCAGGAAGTCACATTTGGATATATTAGATGTAAAGTAAATGGTAACAGGCATCCTGGGAATGCTACCTGGTTATTGTGGACCGAAACTGAGTTAAACTACAACACCACAGGTTTTTAGAATTACACTCTCAAATGCTACATTCTAGTGGTATGATTGAGGTGACTTTGAAAACAAAATAAGATAAAGGTATCTTAAGGTGTACTCTGGAAAAATGATTGGAAACCCAAAACTAAGTCAAATGTGCAAACATATACATTATTTACCGAAGATCTTCAATTTAGCAACTATTATAATACGTCAATGTGTATGCACAATTCTATAATGATAACTTGAAATTTTCTGGGTTATGCCCCAAATTTAAAAATCATAGAAAATTTCGAATTGGAAATAAAGCTAGATGTGCACATATTCTGTGTGGTTCCAGGAGATATGGTCCGGAAATAAATTCGGAAATAGCACTAATTGTTAGCCGGAATAAACGGGTGCGCTTGTATCACTATCCCATAATACACTTTCTAGGCGACCTTCGGTTATAATTTTTTTCATGACTAGTGGTCGGAACTAGAAACCGAACGCGGATGGTCCGGACCATCGTCTGTTAAAAGATGGCTGCTCCCATGGACATGGTAATGTCAATTTATTCTGCTTTAGACCTCGACCATAACCCTAAAAAAAACCTTAAGCTCGAGGAAGGTTTATAATCTCTCCACGGAGGATAATGAATCGCTATGCTATATGACGTTATATTATTATTAAACAAATAATACTTTCATGAAATTAAACTTGCGCGACTCAAATTCCTTGTGACTTCACATTTTGCATAACATAAATATTGAAAGAATGCGTATTTTTAGATTTACATAGATTCAGACATAACATACGAAGCAAATAATATCTGCTCATAGAAATCGCAACAATTTAAAATTCTTTCAAGCTTTCCTAAAATCATATACTAAACAAAAATAGATTCTTTATAAATATTTTACACTTTGGTTTCATCGACACTCCGACCATGCCATAATAGTGAGAGGGGGCAGTATTATCCCCTGTGACTTGAGGCAAGTCCGAGACAAAATAATGCTAAATAGTCGTCCTATATGTCTTGATGTTAAGATTACTTCTGTTACATATACATTTAATCTGAAATCTAGCCTACAAACTACAACAGTGTCTTGATTCTCAAAAATAGCGTCAAACCAGTTCTGGATTCACCGGCCTTATCTTCTTGATTGCCTTGATATTAGGAACTACCGGACTTTGCCAACGAAGTAAACATGTTTTATCTCAAAGAAATACATGTTAGTTTAATTTCATTATTATATGACCGTTTATTTTAAACCCATATGCCTTATTCATTCATTTTATCTTATTTATTCATTCATTTTCTCGTAAACAAACACGTGCTCTGCTGAGGGTTTCTGTTCCTTGAATATGTCAGAAATTTGTAAAAGATACAATAAATTCAATATCATGTTCAATACTACTTCGTGTTTTTCAAGGAAAAGTCCAGAAGTTCAATATGTTGACCAGCTCAAAAATACAGAAATACGGATGAGAAATGTCTCCCCCCCCCCCTCTCTCTCTCTCTCTCTCACTATCATATGTTTTTTAAAGTAGAAAATATAGCTATGTCAATGAATTCAGCAAGCTTTTCAGCAAACAAAGCATTAAACCATTTCAATGTTTTATGTCTGTCATTATGAAAAGAAAAAGGTGACCCATATGTATATATCAAGAATTCACTATTCCTTCGTTCTATAATAGCAGTTCATTAACAAAACCGGTAACTGTCTCCTTCCTTTTTCAGTTTTGAAATGTCAAAAATATCAGTACCATATGCTCTCTCTGACTACTTCAGAATATAATCAAGAAAATATTACACTATTTCAGAACAAGGTTTAAAAGGCTTGATTGGAACACTTCCTGCAGCTTAGCACGTCTCGCATTTCTCGTCGAAACGTTGGATTCATAAAGGCGTATACAATAGGATTGGCAACATTATACGCGAAATACATATAGAATACTATCATATTGAAAGGAATAAGATTATGAGCCATGAGCCAGGACGGTAAAAACGCTATAATAAATACAAGTGTTACAACAAACAACATGGCTGCTGTTCGAATATTTGCCAGCCAGTATTTTTCTTTAAGCGATACTTCTTTGTCCAACATTGCTTTTTGTGGTTCCGAAATGTCTGTCGTGGTAAACCTCGATGTAGCAGTAGGTACGGTACATGTATCTTGTGCTTCTGTTAATGATGTTTCTCTATATAGACATATTCTTGTTGCACGACGCTGTTTCAGACGACGTGCCCGGCGCTCTAGAACAGATTTATAGATAAGAGTGTATAAAATAGCGACTAGTACCAGGCACATAAGAAACATAAAGGCATACACTTTTTGAAACGTCTTTCGGAATGTCGTGGAAAATATTAACTGGTTCGAAGCACAAATTCCTGAGTATTCGATAGCGCGTTCCATAACGGGCACGGTACAATTGGCTTGTACAAGAACTGTGTGGACAACACTTGTACAGTTCGATTCCTCGAATGAACAATTGGCAACCACAGATTGAAGCCCATCCTCCGTAAAGTTGACCATATCTGCTACATCGGATGTTGCCGGTTTAAATCCATATTGGTAAACACCGTGAGCTAAAGCAGTTATCATCCCAATCACAACAACAAGAAGGGCTAATCCAAGTATTATACTTTTAGCCCTTCGAGAATCCAGGGTATGGCAATGGGGGTGGCAAATGCACACATAGCGATCTAAAGCAATGGCAACCATAACAAATACAGAAAATGGGACGTTGCAAGTGATTAAGAACATGTACAATTTACACAGTACGTCGTAATAAATTTCATAATTTATAAATTCGACGATGACGGTGTAAGGCATCACTAAAATACAGGTAATGAAATCGGCGCCAGCAAGGGAGATAATAAAAACTGTAGACGCCAATTTATTTCTTTTTCTTGTATAAACGTACAGCACCAGGCTATTTCCAATGGACCCAAAGAAGCTGAAGAATGACAGCATGCCCATCACCACCTCTACTGGTCGTTGAGGTATATAGTTCCTAAATTCGCTGGTATTCATACAAAACGTCATTTTATCTGAAAAATATAATAAAAAAATAAAGTAATTGAAGTGTCTTTTGAATCTTTCCTTATGTTTTTAAACACCCATGTTTAAACAAAACGTAATAACCGTAGAAAGTGCCAATGCGTTTAGGTCAACTAAGAATTTCAGATGTAAATCAAATACATATTTTTCCTTTTACTCTTAGTTGTAATTTCACTAACTGTGGACTGTTCTTTTCTAAATCTGTAATAGCAATATTAATAACACAAAATTGGCTACAACATGAGAATCTTAACAATAGAACAATGAGATATTAATTACTTGGTGGATAATAACTTCAGATTCAAAACCTCCAATCGATGTTGTTTTTTTTTTTAATTTCCACGACTCTACAAAGAAACTCGTCATTAAATGCTATATTTCTTATATCTAATTGTTATCACGAATGAGCATGCAGACAATACAAAAAGGTTGTGTTTTTTACACCAACAAAAACCATCTAATTGATTTTCTTGAAAGAGCTTCTTGTTAATAAGTTCAACTGTGTCATACACAGTATTCACCTGTGACCGATCAAGTAAAATAATTAAAACGAAGCCATTATTTTGAAAATAATCTGAAGATGAAATAGTACTTTATGGGGGATAATGATGTATAATTAGCAGAATATCATAATTAGCAGAATATCATAATATCACAAACAGATACGTCTTTCTATATGGTAATTATGTAATACAGAGATCCGCAATTGATCAAAAGAATGAATACTTTGATAATTATATACACAGTCAAGTCTTTAATGTTAATTTTTCAAGACTAAAGGAAACAAAGGAAACGAATGGAATAGAATGAAATGGAATGAAATGAAATGAAATGAAATAAGATGAATAAATAAATGGGGTCTAACATCCCTTTTCAGTGCCAACTGGGTAAATGAAGACGGGGACATGGATGGGGTTTAACGTCCTGTTTTTCTGTGCCAACTGGGCTAATGAAGTTGGGGAAAGGAATGGGGCTTAACGTCCTATTTTTCTGTGCCAACTGGACTAATGAAGACGGGGAAAGGAATATACAATGTGCTATGAGGAAAAATTTTGTCCGGGCAGCGGCACTACCGCCTAGTCTTATGTTGAATTCCAATTGACAAGGGATCTTTTATGTGCACGCCAATGTGTTCACGAGACCTCGGTTTTTTGTCCCATCCGAACGACTAGACAGCTGTCCTTGTCAGGCCCTCCGTTCTTGTTCACTGACAAGGGGGAACCACGCCGGAAAATCTGGATGAACTTTCTCGGCCAATGCAGGCATCGAACAGTCGACCTCTAGCCTAGCGAGCCAGCGTCTTTTTTTTTTCTTAGTAGTATTTATTCACAGAAAGACATTAATACATTACATGTTCATTGCGAATATAATCGTAATTAATCATTAATCAGACAGCTATTTACGATATAAAAACTTTTTTTTTTTTTTTTTTTTTTTTTTTAAATATATAATTTACAATTAAGAGATTTAGTATGTACATTAAAACTAGGTTAAAAAGGTAAAAAATGATTCGTCAACTAAAGGTTGTCACGCTTCTTAGATATGATTTACAGGGTTCAGGAAAGTCATCCAAATTCGAAGGATCTTAGTTTAGAAAGATTCTTCTATTGCGATTTCCTGTGGAGGTATACTAAAGATTTTATTAGTTTAATGCATTTCCCCTACTGTCGAAAACGAAATGTAGGGGTTCTCGTAGAAATAAGTCTCTACGCTACTTTGTTATTATCTAGAAAAGTGACTATATATCTATCCATAATTTAACGTGTGAACCTTCAATAGTAATATAAGGAGGTGAGAGTATAGCGTTTTTAAATCTTTCATCTTTTAATTTGAAATACATATAATTCAGATGTTTTTCAAGCATTCTTTTAAATAATTTAATAGTGTCTATCTTTCTATTATGGTTAATATACATAAATCTTCTTTTAATAATTGCTAAACGTATAAAGGAGAAACACATATTTAGAAAATTATTGGATTTGCTATCTTTTAGTATTGGGATTCCAAATACAGTCCATGTAAACAATTGTTCCTTTGTAAATCCATACGGGTAGAAATCTATCAGGAACAGGCGGATCTGTTCGTGGAGTTTTGACAGTTCTGGGCACCCTAGAAGCAAGTGATGCATGGTTTCTACAATATTCTTGTTACAAATTGTACAATATGGTTCTTGAATCATACCAATTCTACAAAGCTTTTCGTTGGTAAATATAACGTTATGACATATTTTATAGTCATTTAGAATACATTCGGCACTTTTAAAACGGTTAAAGACATTTTGCCACACATTTGGCCATTTAACGTGAAAATTAAAGTTACTCCAGAATTGTGCTGACGTGGGCTCTTTAAATATGATATTAATTAGAGATCTGTAGAAAAATCTGGATGAGCAGTTAGATATTAACAAAGGTTTGTCGTTATGAATTATATATAAATCATTTTCATTGTTGGTAAAACCAGATTGGCTGTTTAAAATAGGAAGCCATTCTTTTGGCAGGGAAGCACATATTGTCTTAAACATATTCTTGACTTTATCATCGTCGATTTCACTTGTATCTTCGAAGTCGTACTGGCAGTGAAAAAGGTCTAGAATATGCCTAGTCGGGAGTATACCAGGAATAGCACAGTATATGATATCACAGACTTTAGTAATATTATGTTCAATAAACAATTCATATGATAAAACCTTATTATTATATACTATTAGTGGGTTATAGAATAAAGGCTGGCTAATTATTTCCGAGTATAATTTGGGTAAATATCGATTTGGGTTGATTGTATTCCAGGATTTCAGTAGCAACTTATAAAATTCTGGTATTTTAAGGGACCCTTTTGGCACATAAATCATGGAGAAAGCTTGTAAAGTAAAATTCATATTAAGGTACATTTTGAGAAAGTGTGCCATTAGATACTTCCAAATTGCAGACACAGATTTGTTGCAAAACATCTTAAGGTATGACAATCTAAAAGCCATTTGCCTACTTACAATATCTGGGATATTCAGGCCACCTTGTGAGTGGTGCCCGACAGTTGTTGTAGATTTGATTAAAGGAGGTTTGTTTGACCATAGAAATGATTTAATAGATTGATCTATCTTTTCAACAATATTTTCAGGTATATTTACCACTCGTAGAGTGTACCAAAGTTTTAACAAACATAACGTATTAATGATTACAGATTTTCCAATAATAGAAAGGTTTCTGTGAGACCATATATCTAGCAAAGTCTTAATGGATTTTACCTTTTTAGCCCAGTTGTATTCTGCACATTGGATTTTATTTGGTCCTAAGAATATTCCAAGGATTTCAATGGTATCAGACGCAATGCGGGCATTAGTAGACAGCAAAGGGTGTGTATATCTGGCGGATCCTGCAGGCAAAACTTCTGATTTCCCAGTGTTGAATCGGGCCCCCGATGCCGTACAATAACCTTCTAAGTGGTTAAAAGTTTTAGAGACTGAATCAAAATCTGCTAAAGTTAGAGTACAGTCATCCGCGTGTTGGTAAAGTAAGGACGGGCGGGGAGATCCGGGTATGGGAATTCCATGCACGTCTTATCCACTTAGCCACCGTGATCCTCGCCTGTGTAGTGTCACCAATACTGTTTTAGCATGTGGGCACTGAGAACCCTACCTACGCTACTGTTTAGCACCCTTCTTCTTTGGGTCAGACCATTTGGAATATAAAATATATCTAAAAATTAGAGTGTTGACAAGAATTTAGCGCTCTAACCAATACTTAGAAGATTTGTTATTAATCTACTCTCAGTTTTGAACCCGTTGAACTCCGGTCCGTTTTGTTATCAGACAACAAATGTTACAAACGAATACAACTTTGCATTTAATCATCACTGACTATCGAATGCATCTTTCAAATATTTATCTTCACTGTTTATGGTTTGAAATACAGACCATATGTTCCTCCCAATTTATCGACAAAACAGATTAACCATATTTAGATCAATCATGATAATAACGTGGTGCTCGCCGATAGTGTCATAGACAAACATATCTTCTAAGAGCATGACACCATTGTAATTAATTATGGCGTGTTCAAATATCAAAAGCTAGGTTGCCAGGCCAATGGCATGCAAAGAAAAGTAAATAATGCATCAAATACATCGGATGGGAACGCTCAACCCCAATTCGCTTACCGTCATTTGCAAATCATACAATATCGTGCAGCGGGATCTCTAAACTTGTTCTTGTTTTGATAAAAAATTTGGACAGTTTTTTTTTAAGTTTCGTCCATAAGCCAGTGTCACTTATAAGTTGGGGAACAACGGTGGTCTACTAACCCAGATATCGGGAGTTCTATCCCGAAAAAGTTCACCGGGACTTTCCAGCGTGGTTTCCCCAGCTTGGTTCCCCTAGTTGATTGGGACGAAAAACCGAGGTCTCATGTACAGGCTTGCGCGCTCATAGCGTATCCCCGTCTTCATTATCCCCAATTGTATTTACTACAATTATTATGTTTAGCTAAAATCCTTTGATCCTTTGTTTGGCCTCTTTTTAATCCGATAGAATTCAAGCCGGGGGATTATCTACAGTAGAATCTGTATGAGCAGCCACTCCTATTCAGCGACATCTCCTTGTAAGCGGTCACGATAAATTCCCCCCGTAGAAATTCTGTTGTTTCATCTCTTTATTCAACGGTCACTCCTCTAACGCGGCCAGCGGTCACTATTTTACTAATAAATTCAACAAAACATCGCCCATTCAACGGCCATTGTTGAATGATACCATCTTGTCGTTCTTTGTAACACCCCCGCTAATCCTGTGAGTAGTAGTTAATTAACTGGACGCCCACTGATCAGGTAAAAAGAAATGTAAACATAACAATCAACCCGGGATTATCTGTTAATTAATCTTTTGTTTTATTAAACGACTAACCTGATCATTGTTTTCACGCGTAACGACACATTATTTGATACTGATTGAATAAAATAAAAGTACCGAGTTTTGTCACGATCATCTAGTATCTCTCTTAGC